CTATCGCCTCGTGCGACTCTTACGCTTCTTTCATGCTTAGCAACCTCCCGCGTGCATCCATAACTCAATAGTACACGCTATGGCGTGTACCATGGTTAATTGCAGCCATGTCTAGACATTGTACTGATTACCGTTCGACTGAACGGCCATTAACGACGACAGCAACTTTCAAGAGAGAATGAACGACATCTCCCAAGTTAACCCCCATAAACAGTATCTTTTCAACAAAACTACTCAGTCAGCATTCTTAAATATATCATTATCATACACTAAGAGGCAAAACACTAACGAAAAGGTTTTGTACCTCGCAAACACAAGAACCACCAACGCACAGTCCATGGCCGTTGCAGTTGCTTGGGCAATTGCTCGAACTTCCATCGCTCATTTTCACAACAAAGAAGCTCATGTTGACAACGCTGTTAATTAATGGAATTTGTCCCAGACATGACGTAGTAGTTTCCAAAGTTTAACACCGAGGTCGAGTAAACGTACCTAGAAATTTGAGTCTTTAGTCGTATGACGAACTTACGACTACTTTAATCTTTACATGTATACATTACATGTCGCTCAGCGTTGTTTTCCGCGTTCTCCGAAAGACTGGGGAAGGCGACCTTGGGACCAGGCCTGCCTGAGGCAGGACGGATGAGTTCTGAGGACGGGCGGGACGGGACGGGAGAGACGGGACAGCCGAGTAATAGTTTTCCATTGTCCGCGGACATTATCTCTCCTCAGACATTCATATGAGCTTTGAGGAACACATAATTAGTGTCCAAGGAGAAATATCCGAGCATGTTTTCGCGCCAGATGGAGGCTATCATTTTCATTATTATTCTTCAAATATTTTTCGCAACATGTGCGGTAATATGTATGGGTTATTGACCAAGTGTGAGGTCAAGATAGCTGGATATTGGCCAAGTTCTTTTTTTGCGTGTTTATGGACCTCGACTCTGTCTCGGTCCATAAACTCGCAAAAAAAGAACGAGACCAATATCCAGCCATCTTGACCGAACAAGCTTGGTCAATAAAGGATTTATTATACGGCTTTCGGCGAAATTTTTCTTGCGGGACACGGCAGGTAGTCCCGAGCGGGATAGTCCCGAGCGGCAAGATAGCTCCATCCTACCCGCTCGGGTAGCCAATCACAACGCAGGATTTGACTCATCTTGCCCGCTCACGGAGCTAGCCATATAACAACATTCGGATATTCCCCAGTTTTAACTGGGGCATAGGGGCACATTCGGTCTTGGGGCAAGTTCAGTCGCATAACGCGTTTAGACCAACTGCGCGCGAACCAAATCATTTGATGGATAATAATGATAAAGTTTGATAAAAAAAAGACGTGCAGCTGCGTGCAGGTGACTTGACCCAAAGGCAAGCGGAAATGGTCAAACATTCCATCAAGTCACCCTAAATTCAGGTAACGGCTTTGCTGTCAATTGATCGCTCAGTGGCTTCAGCAAATAAGTCCATTAAGTTCGAGATGTCACGTAGGAACAGAAGTACCTTTAAGATTACAAATTCAGTTCTTCTCTCGAGTGCGAACGAAGCAATGCAACCCATCCAGGGAGAGTAGAAATACTCCTAGTCGTTTCATGCTACGGAAACCGGCCCATCAGCCCTAGCTGGCCTGATGGGCCAGTCAGGCTCCAGCTTTATTTGCCCACTACTTTCATCTTATACTGGAAACTTCTGATAAGCCCTGCCTTATACAACTTCATAAGATGCGGTTATGGGTGGGCTTACTCCGATCATGGTACATCAAAGGAACTCATGAATCCATGGCCAAAGTGGATTCATCAGTTCCTTTGATGCACCATGATCTGACTGATCTTGGATCACTGATCCTAATCGAGATAACTCAAAAGGAACGCAAGCTAAGAGGGAGGGAAAAAATGTTTCGAAATGAGACGTTTTATCTTCTTATCTTGGGAACAGGAAACACACAGCACGTAAGGAAACAGATACGCGAGGCTCAGAGGTCATTTTAAGGCAGATCAGATCTCCTATTTGTTAGTTGGTCACGTCACTCGTCATACAACTTTAAACGTTTTCTTTATGGGCCGGGTTACCAAGGCGGCGTCAATACAATAATAACTAAGAAACGAAAACTTTCGCCTTTTAACCCGAAACTGGATGTTAAATGGTAAATTTACCATTTTAGTCATCTAACTGTTCGCTACAACCGAGAGGCGAAATAGGCAAGGCACTGAATTAAAAGCTTCCTTTCGTGTCGGCGTTTTGCCTGTTGACTACGAAATTTTACCCTTGGCAAATTGTGTTCGTTTCGTTCCCAGTCTCATCGGTTTGCTTGTGAAACAGAGACAACAGAAAAAGAAAAAGAAAGCGTCCAGGGGATTTTTACGTGTACCAAGCGGAATAACATTTACGAAGCATGCTCTTCACATAGCAAGATACACCGTGCCAAAAGCCGAATCTTTGAATAAGAAATCGCTTGTTTATAAAAAGCTCACATAGCGCTCGATTGATGACTTCAGGGGGGTCTCCAAATTAAAAATCAAACTTTGGAATAAGTGGCAGTGGGGCGAACTTTCAGTTGTTCTTTGATGATGTAAATAAATTGCCGTTATCATAATTATCTTGTCACAATTCACATGAACGCTTCCTTTGATAATGCAGAAAATTAGTTCAGCTTACTTTAAAAGCTGCGTTGCTACTGACATATTTTCATTTTAAAGTGGACAAAGGAAATAATTTATCGGTTAGCTTGCCAAGGCGTGTCCGGCTGTTTTTTTGTTTTGTTTTTAAGTCCAGTCCCTTTAGAAGAGATCTTTCAATACTAAAAACGTGGCGGTTGTAACGTGCTTTAACTTTTCGTGAATTTTTCAGTACTGAAGGACGATTGGAAAGTGCTCAGGCCGCTGGCATTTAACAGACTAATTTTGTCAAATTTTGGTAAGTTGATGGACTTTGGTCATGTGAGAATTCGTATCGGCAAAAACCGATCGAGGTAGGCTGAACGGATAACGGTAAAGACGCGGCGAGAATAATTAATAAATTTGCCTTTGACTAGAGTAGGTATTGGGATATTTTCGGGACATAGATCGAAGTTCCGCTCAGGGGTTTTATCAGTTCCTTTATTTTATATTTAAACTGAAACGACAGGAAGTCAGTCTAGTCAAATTATACCGATTATATTTCTTATTAATAATTCCCGTCTCCAGCAGAGTTGATCTGAGTCTCAAAACTGTAGCTTGAATGGAGTAGTTTGAGTTCAGTATAAGAAGAAGTTAAAATTTGTGTTTTCTGTACAAATAAGCTAGCCGAGAACGCTACAGCTGAGAAATTCGGAAACCAAATTTTATTGAACAAATTTTGTGTGGCTGAAACAGTCGCGCGGACAGCTACTGACCCGAGCGGCAAGTTCTCGCCTTTGTAATCCCGGCTCTAAGTACTGTTTTGGACTTAACTCAATCGATGAAGCCGAAACAAGCCGGATTTTCAAACGAAGTCTCGTGAAGATAATAATGGCTACTGATATGAAGATTTGGCGATGTTAAATAATGGCGAAAACCCTTTGCGCGCGAAACGCGGCTCAAAATGTAACTGCATCAAGAAAAACTTTACTCTTTGTTTTATCTTGTTTTCTACTTGAATAAACGCATTCACAGGTCAAACTACCAAGAGCCTGAAACACGGCTCCCTTTTAACATAATTTTGCTCAGTCAGCTTGTACTATCACATAAAACTTTCGGGTAATTTTTGGTGCTTAACTATGCAGAAATCCTGAAATAGGGATTAACTGAAACCTTTCCGAGCGATCACGAACTTCTGACATTTCAGTTCAATAAGGTTAGATTTTCATTTCGAACTATCCGTCCTTAGGCGCTGGGCTAAGTATTAACCACCAGAAAGAAGAAAGAAAAAACGAAGTAGGTTCATGGGTTCAGCGGGAAACAAAGAAAGCCATTTTGTCAGTCTATATTGAAAAAGAGAACGTTATTAGAATTGGAATAAGATGTAGTTGCCAGTGCTTGTTTTGGCAAAACGGCTGGCGCAAACATTCCCTCTTCAAACAGAGTCGTTTTGCGGAAAGACTGGCTTCCAGTTATGCTTTACCATATAGTTCAGGTGCGTTGGTAGTCAATCGGCGAAAGAGGGCATAATTGTGAGGATGTTAAATAAACATTTTCGCCGGAAAGGCTCCTTTTTAAATGTTGAGGCAAACATTCCCACTTCAAACAGAGTCGTTTGGCGGAAAGACTGGCTTCCAGTTATGCTTTACCCTACAGTTCAGGTGCGTTGGTAGTCAATCGGCGAAAGAGGGCATAATTGTGGGGATGTTAAGTAAACATTTTCGCCGAGAAGGCTCCTTTTTAAATGTTGAGGCCTAGGTATCCGCAAAAAGTCGTCCATGTGTCAGGGTATTTTTATTCTCTAATAAAACGGCCTCTGTTTATCCTTACGATGTGTAATTTTGCTCTCTGCGGGGTCGATCACTCTATATCGCCAATATGCTGCAGAGTCTATTCAACAGCAAACTAGTTTAACTTGAAAAGCTTTCGTCCTGAAAAATAATTGAAAAAAACCCTTCTCGCTGGCAATTTCATTTGTTTAACGTACTGTAAATACTAAGGGAAATGACTTTGACGCCTTAAACCTCACGTTTTTTCTCTTCGCGGAATTTTACGATCGAGTAATATGAAAATAATATCTTAACGAGACAAACAGTAACAATCAAACATTTACATAAAGCTTACAAATTTTATTTAAATTCTTGCTAACGAAATGAGAATTGCAACAGCTGTAGTACTGCTGTTTCCTAAACTAACAATGAAACATTTATCCATCTGTCTTATCTTTCCCATCACTTCCCACCGGCAAAAGCATTTAACAATAAATATCCAACTCATTGGCTCTTGCAAATGGAAATTGATTTTAAAATTTGAGTTTGTAATTAGGGATATGATATTTTGCGCAGAACTCCTTTTGAGCCGAAAACGTTCACAGGAAATTAGCTGATGACGCTTTGTTTTAATGCGCAGGTAATTTATTACACTTTTTAGCTCAAGGAGTTAAGGATTGACTCTCTCTCTCTCTCTCTCTCTCTCTCTCTCTCTCTCTCTTTTCATATCAACGCCAATCGCCATTTTCCCGTCGTCGTTGATTCGTTCAGCACGTCTCATAACCTTTGCGTTTTGTTGGCTTTCGTCAACTTTTATCTCTTATACTCGGTTAGGAAACCGAGAAACTAAACTGTCGGGAGATTTTCATTGTGGTTAACCAGGTAGGTGAAGCTTAATTGAACGCGTTTTACTCGACTGGGCCGAATTAAAAGAAAATTTACCACATTGGACGTTTTAATTCGAAGACTGTAAAGAACTAACCGGCAAGCCAAAACGACGGCCAATTTACTTCACTATGGTAAACATAAAGTTTGTTTAGCGAATATGTGTGCAGGTCTTCCAAAAAGGTTAATTACTCCGGCTTGTTCATGTGGAAATCTAGTTGGCTCAAGAAAAACTTCCTTGTTTATTACAACACCGTCATTATAAACTGTACGTTGCGAACTACATAAACACGCTGAATTTAAAATGTACAGTCGAAAACAACTTGTCATGTAGTCTTTGATTTTACCCAGGTCGCCTTTTGACATCACCTGCCGACGCTAGTCGAAAAAGGCCTACTTCGGCCCGGTGAATGAAATATCATTTATTTCTCTTTAGGAGGAAAATTTAATTTTTCAAAAAGGTTACTGAAAAAGCCATACCTGCAATCAAAACAGCAATTAAAATTCCTATTGAAATGAAAATGTTGTTTTCTCGATATAACAATAACAACGTTACTCGACATATGTAATTTTCACAGAATTTCTGTGCTCACTCTATCACAAAGATATTCTTTTCTACACGCTATGATTAGGCGCTGTTCACATGATCTGCTCAATCAATATGGTAAGCTACTGGCGATTCTATTTTGAAGAATATTAATTAAGGCAGTCTGTATGAGTGAAGAAGCCGTGAAAACAGAAAAATAATCATTGTAAGCCTTGTTCAAGGGTTTTCCAAGTCTTAGATTAACTATCTGTTCGATCGGCGACGTTGTGTAACACGGACAAGTATTAAATCCTTTCAACTGCAGTTTGTTAGTGATCAATGATCAATTTCTCTGTAGCATTTCCATACAAAGACAAGCATCTTAGTCTTAAGAATTTGGCAACCAATAAAGTATGAAAGGATGTTTTGATGGCCCTTTTTCACCAACACTATTGTCCCAGGCAAGTTAGCTAGGTTGTTTGGATTGTCGGCCAAAGTGTTTATACGTACGCGAAAGAAAAGCTGATAAAAGGGAGAAAAGAATTGAAGAGACTAGATCTAAGACTGGTATAATTTTCTTCGGTTGCTCGAGTCAAGACAAATTGGAAATAGCAGTTGTCCTTCAGTATACAATGGTGTCTATATAATAAATTCACTGATTCCCAAAACCGGCCAGATTCAGTTGATCCATGCCAACTCGGTTAATCTCCGCCTAAGCTGACTAGGTTATCGAAAATCGACTGATTTCTGATCGCAAACTCCATGCAGACAGACTGTGGCTAAATGTATGGTAATAACGAATGTCCTCGATGAAATCTCCTCGTAATTTCGAACAAAAGCCTTTTTGATTTTTGTTCTTAATTTTTTTTCTATAGGATCATTTAGTAACTATATGTGTGAAATCTTTTCTCTAGTTTATTTTTTGCATTTTTTTGCATTGCATTGTTTACATTTAGCTTTAAGTTTTGTCTGCATGAATGAAATGGTTGTTGTTGGTTTTTTTTGGTTTTATTGCATTGTTTTATAAAAGAAAGAAAGAGCTTCCCACTTTATCTGCAAATGTATCTTTAATTCAACTCAATTTTAAAATGTCATGCAACCGGCCATTTTTACAATACTACCTTTTGGTTTCTAATAGCCTCACTCACTTGTTTAAGGCTGTATGAATACTTAAGCTTAATTTCTATTTTCTGCTCCTTATACAACAAAGAATACATTAATTAACCTTTAAGAGAAACGACGTATGTCCCTAGATTGCGGGCAGATGAGATCAGTTCGTTCTAATAAAAGTGCCTTGTAGTCGAACGTCTTACATGCAGTTAGTAAGTGTATGATAAATTAATGCATCAGCCAATCGCTTAGACCTAGTTTACACTAGCGACATCACGACATAAACGACATAACGACACAATGAAATAGTCGACATAATAGCTTATGTCGCAATGTGAACATCGACATAAACGCATAAGGAAAAGATCACTTCAATGTCGTTATGGCATGGTATATGAACCTTATGTCGTTATGTTCGTGCTGTTAAGCCTGGTTCACACTAGCGGCATAACGACATAACGACATTGACATAACGACATAAGGAAAAGATCAGTTTTATCTTTATGTCGACATGTTCATGTTGTTATGTACAATATGTCATTATGTCTACATGTTCACACTACAAGCATAACGTCCTTTTTACGTAGAGATAACGATCTTTTTATTTCGTTCGTGACAATGTCGTTATGTCGTTATGTCGCTAGTGTGAACCATGCAGTCTTTATGTTCTCATTATGTCAGGATGTTCACACAACAAACATAACGACATAACGTTCTTCTGATGTCGTTATGGTATGTCAATATGTCGCTATTGCAAACTAGGCTTAATGACTGAGCTGCTTTTTGCAGGGATCACATCAACAAGCCAATAGCAAGAGATGGAGAAATCATACACCACAAACCGCATCTGTGCCATTTGTGGGGATCGCTCATCAGGATTTCACTACGGCGTACAAAGCTGTGAAGGATGTAAGAGTTTCTTCAAGCGAACTGTCCAAAAACAACTACATTACACATGCGTGGAGAGCATGTCATGCCAGATTGACAAAAATAACCGGATAAGGTGCCAGTTTTGCAGGTTTCAGAAGTGCTTGTCCCTAGGAATGCTCAAAGAAGGTAAAGACAACTAACCAAGCAGATCACTGCATACACTTTGATCAATTTCCGCTCCACGACTGTCCCATAGTCCCTTATAGGTAAGGTAAAGGGTACAGTCTGTATACGAGCCAAGCTGGTACTTATCCCAGTTTCAGTGGCATGAAGCGACTAGGAGTATTTCTACTCCTCCCTCGATGGGATACCAGTGCGTCGTAGGGTTACCCCCCAGCATTAAGTTCGTCGATACCCATTTATACACCTGGGTGGGGATGGAGAGAGGCACTGTAAGGGTAAAGTGCCTTGACCTAAAAGCACAACATAATGTCCCCGGCCAGGGTTTGAACCCAGACTGCTGGGCCAGAAGTCGGGTGCACTAACTATGAGGCCACCGCGCCTCCACTGTCCCTTTTAGGCATTCACACTAAATGAGCCTGCCTCCAGGGCCCGCGATAATTGCTTAATTATTGCAATTATTATACATCCGTAGATGGTGGAGATAAATTATGTTATGGAGATGGGTTGATTTTGAACACAGGACGTGACCAGCTCCCAGTTGGCTTGATAGCTCAGTTGGTAGAGCACTGCATCGCAGAGGTCATGGATTCAAATCCTGTTCAAGCCTGATTTTTTTTTTTTTTTCATACTTTAATTTCACAACTGCTTAAGTTGTGTGTATAACTGCGATGATCAATCATGTCTTCATGTGGTATTCCTTTATCAGCTGTACGAGAGGACAGAGCACCTGGTGGCAGACCACGAATCAAGTCATTAATTGGAATGAAAGAAAACGCTGACACATTTGTGTCATCTGAGTTGATTACACAGCTTATCCAGGCGCGCCCTGATGCCACACCAAAAAGAAGGTTGGTAGATCTTATTCGATTTCGTTTGCGATGCAAAATAGATGAATTATGTTTAATGTTATAGATTTGTGTTTTTTGGCCTCTGATTGGTTTGAAAGCTGTGCAATAGGCGTTATCGTTTTTTCTTTAACCGGTGGGGAGCAAATCCAAAACTAATTGTGAATGGAGTAACAGCGTTTTCCGTCGCGTTACTCGGTTCTCTGTTAGAGTTTTGCTAGGTTTATAATTATTTGCTTTTTGGTTATTTTCTTTGCGTTAGCTGTGCTGTGATTCCTTTGGGTCTAGTGAAGTTGTTACACCACTGGAAATGCTGGCTAAAAACGCATTACCTCTAATGCATTTTTATTCGAAGTTTGTTTTGGATAAGTTTGTATTCATTATAACATTTTCGTTAACAGACCAGACTACTTGGAACTAGGTTTTGCCGATATCTACCCTTTGAACCCTGTGGAAATCGTTATGGAGTTGGTCCTACAGGAAGTAGACTTGATAGTGGCTTGGGCATATAAAGTTCCCGGATTCGGAGAGCTGGATCGGGACGATCAAGCCAGTCTGGTGTCCACAGGTACGAAGAGAATCATTCTTAAGTTACTCAGGTCTGTTTGCCCCCTGTGGCACTTTAAGCCCCTCGAAGATAACCACAGGAATATACACATAAATTAAAAGTATTTCAATTTTGTTCATAGCTTTGCTCGAATTATTGGTTCTTCGTATATGCCAGCGGTCCGGTGCTCATCAGGGCTCAGTGCTGTTAGCTAAAGATGTGCTTCTTAATCCCGAGCACTCTTTTAATATGGTCCTTGAACAGTGGTCCTTACAACTGGCGTGTTTCGCTTATAAGCTGCAAAGCTTGCAGCTTGACATGGCGGAGTTTGCCTGTGTGAATGCCATTATGCTATTTGAGCAAGGTGAGCTTCCTTTTTATTGATATTGGACAGTATGAAACCTCTGCTTTGAAAGCTGGCGGCCATTTTATACTTGTGGGCGTTCGAACCATTCTGAAATTGATTGTTGCCTCTGTTACATGACTAAACTTGGCATTTTTACGTGAAATTAGGTCAAGAGATGCGCATGAAAATCGTAGTATTATATGAAAAGTTTAACACTGGAGATCAGTCAGCAAAAGAGGAAGACAAACAACTCGCAAAGTACTTGCACAGAATGTTTCCTTTCACGAGTTTACTAGCTCCTTGGTGCTAAGTGTTGCGGAAAAAAGGCTATCGATCAATTGGTTGCTTGCTTAATTGATCGATTGCTTGACTGACTGGTTGTCTGACTGTCTTACTGACTGAATGACTGACTGACTAACTAGCTGACTGAATGACTGACTGACTGACTGACGGATAGACTGACATATTGACTGTCTAACTGACTGTCTGATTTATTGTATGACTGAATGACTGACTGACTGATTGACTCTCTAACTGACTGACTGTCTAATTTATTGTATGACTGAATGATTGACTGACTGACTGACTCACTGACTGACTGACTGACTGTCTGATTTATTGTCTCTCTGAACAACTGTTTGATTGACTGATTCATGATTGACTGATCTATAATTGACTGATGATTAATTGATTGATTGCCCGAGTATCTGGCTACTTGATTGAAGTTGTCTACGGCAAAAAGAGGTGATCAACAGGAAAATAAATTAGCTTTAACTTTGCCAAAATATACATGACAGGGTAAAAAATATATCCCCTTAATATTTCTTTTAAGTTTACTTATACGTGTACATAATTTTGCTTTTCTTACAGAGACAAGTTCAGGATTAAAAAACAGAGAGATGGTGGACTTCATCCTAAATCGTTCCCTTGACGCATTGCGGGACTATATCAAGTGTTCGTATCCCGACAAGCCAAGCCGCTTTGCTCACATTTTGCTCAGACTTCCGACACTGAGAGGTGTGTGCTCGAAGATGGCACACGAATGCTTGTTCGCGCAATCTTTTCTCAACCTGGCTCTTCCTCAGGTGCGGTCGTTTATTTTGCAAAAATGACAAGGTAGAAGAAAAAAAAGCGATTGAGCGATTTTTGTGACTCGTCCGATGGACCTCAGGCTATCGTGTTATCATGTTGCATTAGCGACACTAAGCTGAAGATGGGTAAATAGGTGCACAATGAGCACACTTTGCAGTCCCATTTATAGATGTGTTAGTAAGTACCGATAAATAGATTTGCAAGGCCTGTGTATGTTTTACGGCCCATTTCGCGTAATTGCTCAGTTAGATTACTATAACGAAATATGATCAAGAATTAATAAAAAGGTACGCTAGGCGCACGTGTGTCTAATGCGACTCGTGTATTGGGTAATTGCATGAACTGAAAAAATATGGGTAAGAAAGAGTAAATAGGTACTCATATAGAGGGGCACCATTTTGTAAGTCCTTAATTGACTGCAGTAGAGTGCTCTTTTCTCTTTTTAAATAAAATTATTATTATCTATTTCATGATCTACTGTTTAGTCCGCTAGTGCGCGTGTGGTTCACGGCCGGCTCATGCAATAGATGGCTGTTAGTGGGACTGTATCAACCGAAAGAATGTTAAGAAAGTGGCAGTACGCAATATATACAGCTAGCCAAGGGCTGGCTTCATGCGCCAGGATTTACTCCTCTACTAGTTAATAATTTTAGATATTGAATGATCAAATCAAGTAACTGTAAACAGCATATTACAGAGTCGTATGTAAGGTATTTAGCCTAAGCATCTGCAATGTACCAGCGAAAAGGGCTTCATTATTTGTTAAGACGACAACAAATTAGAATGTACTAAAATGAACAAATAAACAAATAGAGTTGATTGAGCGTACACATCTGTTGCCTTTCACTAAATCTAGTAGCGCTGTATTAAGAATGCCGTTCTCCGATTGGCTACGCTACTCACCATCAGTTTTCTGTTGTATTAGGTAGTGAGCAGCCTAGCAGTGTGCGCTTGTAACAAAACCGGCGGCCACTTCTTTGCGATTTCGAAGTGTCTGTGAGCCCGCTGCGCCCTCGTCAAATACCACGCAGTCAAAATCTTGAGCTCGTAATCTTATTGTTGAATATTCTATTTTTTATCAGCGGCTGACGAAGAAAGAATAATATGTTGAACTCAAAGTTCGTCGTACAAACTAAATGCCATTCACATCAGCCACATAACCTTTCTGTGGGCTAAAGTTTCAAACCCTACAGACTTAGGGTTACTTGAGATGTAGCTTGCTTACTTCACTGAGGCAACTTGGAGCCATCTGGCACACGTGCTCCCCTCACCCCGAGACAATGATACTTTAATTATGCTAAATTTGTTTTGACTTTGCCATGATTCGCTGGTGAGTTACTCCAACCCCTGCCTCGAGCTAACACTCGATTATACATTTTGATTGACAATAGAACATTTTACGGTTGTCCGCTAAGTGACCTTGCCTTTGAGAGTCAGCAAGGCTAGCTGGAGGTGACCTTGTTTTGATACAGACCTCACTGCTTTTGATGTGTAAATCAAGTTGTTCTTATACTGACTAGTTGGCATTTACATAAGAAAATCAGAGAAGTCTGTATCAAAGCAAGGTCACCTCTAGCCTCGCTTGCATTCATAGGCCAGGTAATTGAGCACACAACTGAAATTGTCTAAACTGGTCTATTGAGGACCAGGTTGAACCGGTTGAGGGTATGACATTTTCAAACCAGGTGTCAGTTTTCCTGTCATTTTTCTTCATGCAACGTGCCATTACACTAAGTAATCTTTACAAGACAGTATACATTACTGTAAGGAAACAGACGTATGCTTTTGTTTACTGTTCCTCATTGTTCCTTGTCTGCCCCCGATTCAAACGAGAAACTGAGGGTGGAAGGTCTTCCTCAGTATCGACCAGCCGCCTCTGAAATATGACGCCTGCCCATATTAAAGCCAACCTAATCTTAAATGCTTCAAAAAATCCATTTTTAAACACTTTATGGACAGTTATAAGGAATTGGACCATTTTATCATCTAAGTTTTCAATTTTCTTGTTTTAATTATTAGCCTTGATCCAATGCTTTGCTTTTTAATATTTTAGTGCGTCTTATATCTTAGTTTTTTGTTATCGTTGCATAGAGAATCCTTCTATATTTATTTTTAATTTTTAACGTCATCTTTTTATTCTGTAAATATTTATACGAGGGCCACTGGGTTTTCAGTGATTACTCGGAGAAATGGATAGTGGCCGCCTAAAAGAGGTTGGCAGTTTAATACAGGTAAAAACAATAGAAAAGCCCTCATCGGGACTTTGATTACTGGCCGCCTAATAGGGGTGGCCGTTTAACAGGTGGCCGCTTAATAGGGGTTCTACTGCTCGACTGTTCGACCGTTCGACTGAGTTTACTTTTATTTACTGCCGATTGCTTGCGGTTAGCATTTATTTACTGCTGTTTGCTTGCGGTTAGCATTTCAGGAGTGAAGGGGAAGGTGACTAAATGTGTCTCACCATGAATTATATGCCCATAAACCCTAGTATACATCAGTATACTTTTCCTTACGCATTGCGTCTACGGATTCACTATACTTATTATACTTTCCATTTCACGTAGTGCAAGACTTCAAAAGAAGTGTTAGTTTCGGACATAAAAGGAAGGAATATGTACAATAGGCCATTTTACAGTTGTGCGCTTAGTTATATGAATGCAAAAGAGGCTGGAGGTGGTCTTGCTTTGATACAGACCTCTCTGCTTTTCTCATTGAAATGCAAACTAGTAAGCATAAGAACAAGTTGATTTACACAGCAAACGCAGTGACGTCTTTATCAAACCAAGGTCATCTGCAGCCTCGCTGTCATCCAAAGGCCAGGTCACTGAACAGACAACTGTAAAATGGTCTATTGCACTTCACGCCACATGTTTATGTGAATTTCAATAAACTGACGAAACTGACAACGGCCATCCCCGAACCTTTCGGCTTTGTCGCTTACGCCTTTTTTTTGTAGGACAGCCTCCCTCGAATCAGCTATGTATCTTGGCATGAATTTTGTATAGTATTTTGATGAATTCATTAAAATGTTTTGTGATTAATGATGTTTTGCTTAATTATGTTGAGAGTTCAATAGCCCTTTCCACAGCTAACTTTTCTCATTTGAATCACAATATAATCCAGCATGTATATGGGGCAATTTCGAACAATTTTGTAATTGTAGTCTCAGCCCGAAATTGCCTCTCATCCACATTGGATTTTGGTTTTGTGATGCAAATGAGCAAAGCTAACCGTGGAAAGGGCTACTATCTGCTTTACTCGGATTTATTTTCACATTCTAATTTCTTTAAATACTTTCTGGGGATCCACTAAGTTTGTTCTATTTGACTGTGTTAGTGCTGTTTTGGTACCAAGCTACGAGCACTTCCTCCTTTTCTCAGCCTTCGAGATTGTCATGAATTTATATGCAAATCAAATTTTTTAAATTAAAATGCTAATAACTGAGCCTCATCCAGAAATTGCCTTGATGCACAACTTTAATTAAAATTGGCTCAACTTGCCTCGTTGAGCACTGCCTGATTACTGAAGAAGATTACATAACTATATCAGTTGGAATATAACATCAGTCGTATCTTACTTAATAATATAAAATCAACTTGTAACGCGATGTGTTTACAAGTCACTCGCATTGCCTTTCGATGATAACAGGATTAAACTGTTGATCCTGGCAACAGTCCAGGTGGCCGTCTCTGCAGGGCTGCATAAAACCCCACACACATATATATATATTTGTTTTCACAAAGGTGGGTAATTCAGTGCTTCGCAGTAAACTGCTGAATTCAAAAGGTAAGTTTTCTAGATTTTTAGACCTCTTTTAACAAAATATAACCTACTATCTATTACTTTAGCTTAGGATGCAATGTGTTATTTAGAGATCAACATAGAATGTCTATGTTCAGGTGCAGTTATACGTCAAAGCATAATTTTATGTTTACTGTTGCATTAAGATATGCAATTTTTTCGTGTAAATATGAGAAGTGCGAAAGAAATTGGCGATAGTTGAAAAACGCCCAAGTTATAGTCCACCCTTGACCTTATCACATGTTTTAAAGTGGTAAAACAAGATTGGGTATGTCCAATATTAACAAGCGGAAAATCCTATTTACCCTGCAGTATTGCTTCCTTAATAATTCCGCCAAGTGTTTCTGCGTTTAACAATTTAGTATTTTCATTCAGGTAACGAAAAAGGAAAATTCCCTACAGCTCTGTTAAATTTTGAGCGGACACTTAACATGTCTCCTGGGAACTCGTACAAAATGTTTTGGGTTGTCTGCCTGGTTTAATCTAGTTTCAAAACAAAATATATTACTTTTCAATATTTATAAACCATCACTTCTAACCTGTTCATATTATGCAGCACCTAAAGCGATGGCTGAACGCTTTTTTTTTTTTTTTTCAAACTCATGCGGGTACCCTTTTGGTTATGTTTCATTTTTCCTTCTTTTTCGCTTGTCCCACTGCAAAATATCGCGAGATACCGAAATAAGCATATTTCAGACAATACTATTAAGAACATCAGCA